TATCTTGTACCAGCGGAGCATAAGAGAGAAAACTTAAGAGATCTAAAACTTCAGACATAAAGTTTAAAGACATAAAGGTAAGACATAAAGTTTTAGATAAAAGTTGATATCATAAAGCTTAAGAGAGAAAGCAAAGTCACACGAGATAAGACCAAAGTTGAAAAGACAATGTTCTCAAAACCCCAAGATCACTTTGGTACCTTAGCTTTGATTTTTGTCGTCCCTTCATCTAGACTCATGCGAATAACCCACTCATCTGTTGTGACTTCCCATTCCCTAACAATAATCCGATCCAGAAGATCACACGCTTTCCTCTTCAAATCGATGGGTACATGCTCTTTATGGCACAGACCAATCACAGATTGACCTAATTCCTTTATGGCAGGTGTGACAGCTGTGGAGATTCTCCCTATCCCCATATGAGCAGTATAAAATAAGGACAGGACTTCAAAAGCCATCTCAACCACCAAATCTTTATCCCCAGATTTTGTTTTCTCACCAAGCCTTGTGATTACTTTCCCCTAAGTTTCTGGCATAACCGTATAAGTTCGAACATCGCGATCTTGTAAAATATCAGAGATAGTCCATAAAACCTTCTCGTTTGGATCACTAGCCAATAAAGGAATTACCTCATTCCAAGCTGTATTCTGGCTTGGGTACGAGTGAAGAGATCTTATGGAGATCCCGAGCTTTTGTGTAAATTCTTCTCCCCCAAGTAAATCAGCAACCAATCTCAGGTATATGGCTCGAACATCTTCTTCTAGATCTTCATGTTCTTCCACAGCTTCATCTTCTTCTTCCAGAACTTCAACCACAACTTCATCTTCGTCCATATCTTCAGCTTCTTCCACATCTTCCATATCTTCAGCTTCTTCCACATCTTCAGCTTCTTCCATTCCAACATCTCGGTGTGGTAGCAGCAGCAGTACATAAACAATCCGGGGGAAAGCTAATATGGCGAAATCCTTGCATATCAAATCGCCCTTTCGGATCTCAAGTTCCTTCCGACAAAGAGCATTCTAGAAATCAATATCTTCTCTAAGTACGGATTCTTCCTCTATCTGAACCGTATATTTTATTATCTGAGTCACAAGAACCTCCATCTCTTTATAATATGAATCCATCGTCACCTTTAAACAATTAAATCCCGCCTTTGTAATTCTCCTTGCTTCGGTGGGTTCTACTCCATTAACACTCATAGCTCTGATAATGATACTCAAAACGAATTCTACTTGCTCACTCGTTATCTTCTTGTTGCTGAATTGGTCTCCCAAACCAGTTATAACCATCTCCTTAGCATATGAAGAGAGATGGTCAGTAACCACGACGAGTTTACTTAGGAGAGCTGAGTTAATAGAGGTAAGATGCATGATGATTAGGGATGCAATCCCAGCAATGCTCATTTTAGTAGACTCAATTGATGATAATAAATCATCCCAAATCTGGTGCTTTACCCATTCCTCTAGAGTCTGCCATACTTGGCTGCGAGAAAGTGTCTTCCTTAGAGTTTGACTTGCATGAATCCTACTGTCTGGTTACTTTAGGATTTTTGCAAAAAGGATGAACAAAGTAGCGT